TTGCCCCCCCCCCCCCCCCCCCCCAAAAAAAAAAAAAAAAAAAAAACCTCTCGCGCGCACAGGTTTTATGTGCAAGAGTAAGGTTACTCTGAGTGGGCTGACTCATAGAAACATACCCTCTACAATGTTGGTTATGATATATATATATGTACATCTATCCCATGCACCCATGCCCAGCAGGAGCTTTCTCCACTTACCTTGCCTTTACTGTTTTGACATCATTAGAACCATGTCATTTGATGTTTTACTTAAACAGATCCAAGGTCCTCACACATCTCCTGGCATTAGTTTCAATAAAAAAGGTAAAAGAAGATGAAAAGAAATTATTGTTCCAGTTGAAACCATTACCCTTGGACTCTCTTTAAACTTACCAATTTCTGGCCTCAAGGCTAGAATTGGTCTTATTAAAGTTAAAATCTTGCTCTGGCTCATTTGGTAACCTGAACTAGATATAAGCTTCAACTCTTTATAATCAAACAAGCGCAAACTGAACACGAGTTGCATGAAGCTATGCTCATTTAATAACCTTAGAAGACTGATTGTATATGTAGTTAATAGTTTGCCTTTTATCCTCTTTAAAGTTATATAATTGTTGTGGCTCCATAAGCTATCTATGACTTAATGTCTGGTGTTTATAATTATATGTGTTTTCAAACAGCCCTTTTTTCATCTCTGGAGACCAAGTATGGAAATGATGGCAATCAGTAATATGTATGTCTTTTGATTCCAGGAACGGGAGAGGGATCATTTCTCCCAATTCATAACTGAAGGTTTTACATCTTATTGCAAGCGGAAAAGGCGAGACAAGGTATTTCTACTGATTTCTTGTTTTGTTTTAGAATTTTGTCTGTCAGTTACTAATTTGACTTGACAGGCTGAATCATCTCTTTGTAGAATAGTTAGTGGCAAGTGCCTTAGTATTTGTGTAGAAGAAATGATACTGGTTAATGATATGTTCTTTGGACCTTAATCTTGCAATAACTTCGTATCTAGAACTTAAAAATTTGAAGGTCCTAAGTGCTGAGAATACAGCAGATATACTTTTTTATAAACGTTGAAGCTATATATATCTCACTTAGTGCAAGCAGTTTCTATTGGGAAACCACATGTGTTCACGTGTTCACAAATATCTTGTGCATATTTTTATACTGTTACTGTATCATTTAAAATTATAAGAAATTGTTTCATCATTCTATGAACTAGATCTCAAGCTTTGATTGTGTTCTTAATCTCTATCAGGGCAATTATAGAAATGTAACCAGACTCATAAATATCATACATTTACAAGGACAGTACTGTTGAATGATGACAGCTTATTGGAAGAAATATATCATGCTGTTAATAATGTCAATCTCCTTCCTTTGCATATGATATATGTAGTGCGATATCTTTCCAGCTCCTTCTTTCTTTTTTCTTTCTTTTTTCTTTCTTTTTTCCCTTTTTTTCTTTTTCTTTCTTTGGTCTGGGGTGGTGGGCAAAGCACTTATACTTGTCCTCTCTGTAATAATAACATGTGTGGCTATGCAATATAGATGGATATGTACAAACTTACTACATGTTGCTTTGAATAATTATATTATGATGTCCTTTCTGTTGTGATAAAATGTTTTTCTGGTTGTTAGGTATATGGGAACAATGTGGAGATTCAGGCTTTCTGTGAAATGTACAATCGTCCTATTCACATTTATTGTTATAGTACGGGTGAGATTCTTGATTTTTGATGCTACTGTGGTTTATTTGTTACTCTTAAATAACATTTGTTCACCTTCTGTTTTAATTATTTGCAGAGCCTATTAACATCTTTCAGGGAAGCTATAATACAGACACACCTCCCATAAGGTTAAGCTACCATCATGGTAATCACTACAATTCACTTGTTGATCCACGCCGAATGACTGTTGGCGCCGGTCTTGGATTTAGCACTCTTAGAGGGGTGAGTTCTTTGAATGCACTTTTCCTTTATTCAGAAGAGTGAATTTGGACTAAAATTAGAAATGTATATGTATTTAATCTTTTCCAGCTCGTTTAGGAAATAAATTTTGGAGATATTTAATATTTGGAATTGGAGGTGCATGTTGGTGATTTAAGTAATTATGGCATCACTTTGATGATATCCTCAATTTGCTAAATAAGCAACCAAGAGATAGATTGGTGAGGTCCACACCTTTTGATGTGACTAGCAAGGTGGGTCTCACCACATGACTATCTCTTGGTAACTCATTTAGCAAAGTGAGCTGTAACCTCATACCCATTATTTCCTTGCATCATGTTGGTTTGCCTTAGTGGAAAAGAGTAGTTTGGGCACGGGTACATTCTTGAAGAAATTGGTTAATAATACTTTAGTACATTCCAGACAAATGTGGTTTTTTTTTCTGCTCCTTTGCCTCTTTCTTAGCCTTGGACCTGTTATTCCTAACATGCTTTATTATTATTGTTGTTGTTGTTCTTGTTGTTGTTTACAGACAAATATTGACGGGGAACAAGTGAAGGCTGCCATAAGAGCCCAGCAAGACCAGCAGATTGACAATGTAAGTGATGCCACACTGGAATATTTTCTTTGGTGTTTGCGACCATAATATCATATACACAGATAATGAGTAGCCATTTAAACTGCTTTCTGCCATCATGTGTACATGGTTTTTTAGCCAGATAATCTGTTCTAAATTTAAGCTTTAGCTCGAGTAGAGCACATTTGTGTTTGCATACTGGAATGAGGCATATCAATTATTTTCATTTAGATGGGTATAGTGAGAGAAAAAAGAAGGGGGGAAGGGGTTTTACTATGGGATGCATGTATATTGGACACAGGGGACTGGATGTCGTGTGGCTAGTAGCAGTGAGAATGAACTATTTGCTGTTCATAGCATCCATATAAATGATGTATATGTATGTATCTACATACACAGTAGTGTGTGGTTTGAATGGTAAGAAACTATGAATTACGTAATTGCTTGCTATGAATCAGCCATATAATTGTTTGTAAGTCCAGCAACTTGAATATAATATTTACATTAGTAGTTATGTCATTTAAAGACTTTTATATGAGTACACATTTCGAATGAAGTTGAAAACTTTAGTTACCATACACATCAGGGAACACATAAATAATTGTCATGAAGAAGAGTGATACAAACCATTTAATTCCTTCCTAGTTAGTTTTTCTGCTTTACAAAAAAGTTACCTTCTAATTTTTGTTGATAAAATGTATGGTATGTGGCATTTTAAATTTAAGCACATGGGATTTATTCTGTGACACCTTTCAGAAAATTTTGGTTTGTCTGGTTTTCCAACATTCTTTAGCAATATGCACAAGAATTCAATATTCTCGAATTTTGATCCACTTTATCATGGGTGTTTGAAGGAGTTGAAATAGCTACTTGTTGCATAAGCAGAATATGCTTGCACCTCGTTGGTCATGCCTGTTAAGTTTATTGTCCTCTTCTCATCTTTTTTGTGCTAGAATTAAGTTTTTCCTATAGCATTGCGAATGATCAGGTAACATGGTGATGTTTAATCACAAGAATAATCAAAAGATGAAAGCTCAAATTTTTTACTCATCAATCATATCTAGTATGTATGAAATAAAGTTTATACAGAGACCAAGCGTACCACTAATTAAACTAAAACTCAAAAAAATTTCCTGACCCAACCCAATACTAAATAAAAAACATATTTAATATGCTTTTGCTGTCTTTGTTAAGCACTTGAAGCAGCAAGATGAAATTAGCTATAGTTCATACCAGACTTTTTTTTATCAATGTTAATGGCGTGTTGGGTCTGATGACCTGATATACCATTTGAACATTGAGTAGCAGCCTGTTTGCACACAAGCTATTTGTTGTTGTTTATTTGTTTGTTATTCTTTATGTTTTTATGTTTGCATATTGTAATATATTATGTGAGGTTGCTTGTTTCATCATTTGTGTTGCGTAACATGAATATACTTCTTTACATGCAAGTTAATTAGTTAAATTATTTTGATAGATAATATAAGACACTGAAGTAACTAATGTCCCTTATATTTATCGAACTGTATGAGTCTCTACATGTGTGCATATGCTTTTGTGTTATACCACTATAGTGCCGGCATTTGCTTTATTTCCCAAATTAGATCCTCGGATCTCCTATGAACCCGACATGCAGTATTAGAACCTGAGAAAAATACCAAAATGATTCTCAAAGTTCAAATGTGTATGGATACTTTGTGGTGTTTTTTTTGAAGTTTGAAGATAAAAATAACAATAATTGTATAATATCAGTCATTGTCTTGTGTTTCTCAGTGTTAATTAGGATATAACTATCCTTTTTTAGTGAGTTTCTGTTCGATATCATGTTTCCTATTTTAACTGAACTGAGTGAAGAACAGGCACTTCTGGCTGAGGGGCGATTCTACTCTGATTTGGAGCTCACTGAGAAGGAAATGGAGCGCATGGTAATAGAGGCCTCAAGAGCCGAGTATCTAGCTGAGGACAAGCTAAAGCAGCAGCATGGCTTCAGGGAGTCCACTTCCGGGGCTGAACCATCTTCTTCGGGAGCAAGTAAGTTATATTTTCAATGGTACAATAGAGGATGCAAGGGGGAGGAGGGATGTTATCATATATAAAACTCTGTTAAGGGTTTGGTTTGCTGCAACTGCAACTTAAACCTTCAGTTGCAGCTGTTTGATTAATAACAACTTGCAAACAATAGTCATAGAAAATCCTCTAGTTGCATGCTTGTATTCAACAACCTACACGGATTTGGGTGCAAGTCGCAGTTGCATTTTTTTAGCTGCAAATGAGGTACAAGTATAAGTCCAATCATATCAAGCCCTAAACATAAGTATTAAAAAAGAAATGATACCTCAAACGCCTACAGCAGCTGCAGATTTGATATTTCAAGGGTTAATCGCAGATAGACACCCTGTATTATATGTACCACAATTGTGGATAGACCCCCTGAGTGAACTTTGTTGACACTTATTTAGGAGTTGGAAAAATCACTCCAGGGACTCTGTCAGCAAGTGGACAATAGTATTGGGATTCACAGCAATAGAACCAATAGAACTATAGGGTGTCTATCTGCAATTGGGCATTATTTCAGGGGGTCTGGCTGCAATTAATCTGATAATCAAGTAACTGGGATCCCAACTGCATGTGGCAACTTGCAATAACTTCAGCGGCAAGCAACTCACACTTGCATTGCAGTTGCAGTGAACCAAACATCCCCTAAACTTCCCCGGGAAACAAAGAGACCATTGTTTTAATCACATCATCTGAATGTTCATTAACGTGATGAGGTTTTTCTGAGTTAGCAGGAACAGGCACATCGCAGGATGCATCACAACTGGTAGAGGAAAGGGAGAAGGAGAGCTCAGTTCTTACCAGTAGCATGCAGATAATGCTGTCGATGGGGTTCAGCTATCTTCAGGTCATTGAAGCGTACAGCATCTTCGGAGACGATGTTGATTCCATGGTTTGTTACCTGCTGGAGATGGGAGGCAGCAGTGCTTCACCCGGAAGTAGTCGGCGCAAAGGGAAAGCAACCGAGTGAGCTATGAGAAATGTTGAATAGGCTTGTGGGCATGATAAATGTGCAAAGGAGAAGGAACTCTTTGCTTAAGCACTGGACGATTTGCTAGCATAATAAAAGTTGTTTAGTGTTAACCATTTTATGGCTGAAGTATCGTTCGTAAGACTTATTATGATATTGTTATTTCAAAGCATATGCAGTATTATGTATTTCTTACTCTGAAAGTCATCATTTTTAGTCAATCTGGTAAAGCTAGCGGCACCAAAAGATAGGGATGTAGAGCTTACACCTCTTAAACTGGAATTCGTTCGAAGAGATCAATGGTACTTGACTAATGAATACCGCAACCGAGTAGCTGGAGGACTCGATGCGGGAAACGAGCCAATTTGAGTAATTAACAGAACGCAAATAAATTATTCTGGAGATACATAGGGTATAGATCATGGTGGATGCGTAATTTAAAAGAACAGGTATCTGTTTAAAAATATCCCGGTTCCGGTTCTCGGTAAAATATATTTCGTTTTCCTCCTCTCATTTTGAGAAATGGTGTAATTTATTTATGCAATTTGTTTTAGTCACTTCTTTTATTAAACTCTAAAACCGAAATACAATACTAAGAAAATTCTTGATTTGTTTAAATTTTTGGTCATGTCTTTTTTACATTATCTAATATCTATGGATGGTCAAATACGATGTGCCTCTATCTACAACTGGGGCATTTTGGCAAGATTAAAAGACAATTAAATTTTCTTGTTTATCCAATGTTGCACATAAATATTCTCAACTACGTACGGCTCCACTTAATATACCTAGTTTTTAAGGTCATGTTAGGATTGAATATTATTTTAAAGTAAAATTTTTTTAGGAAAAATGTTTTAAGGCCCCAAAATATTAAATGGGATGTGACTAGGCCCCCATTATTTTTTTTTGGGTGTCAAAGCCCCAAATATAAGAAACACTTGTGTTTCAGCCCCTTTTTCCTTTTCCAAGATAACACAGTGAGCCATTAATTAGGAATACCTAAAATACCCTCAACTCCTTCTCCTTCCTCTCAAGACCTTTCTGGCTTCTCTCCCTCTCATCTCTTCTCACGCTCAAACCTCCGTGAAATTGGGCGGAGGCGACAACGAGAAGAAGCCGCCACCGTCGGTGAACGTGTGCAGACGAGGGAGGAAAATTTGCTTCGATGGCGCTCTGGATCCCATCCTCCTCCACAATCACTGATACCTCCTGCCGCCTCGGAGGTGACCTGACCGCGGCCACCGACACCGAAGCTGATCTACTCTTCCTCAACCTCCTCTAAAACCGAAGGTATCACCTAATAAGCTCCCTCTATTTCTCCCTCTAAAACCCTTTTCTTCATCCTCCGAGCATTCTGGGATTTTCAAAAAAAAAACATTGGCGACTAAGAAAGCCTAATCCCCGAGGCAGGAAATGGAAGCACGTGGCGTCGACTTCCGCCCTCGCACACTCGAAGACATCTTCAGGGATTATAAGGGCCGATGGACTGCCCTTGTCAAAGCTCTCACCATCGGTAAATTTTTTATGGATTCGATTCGTTACATTTTCTTTTTCTGATTTTGGGAATTTTTTTTACTTCTGAGAGATTTCTAATAAAGATGTGTGCTTTGTTTTTGTTTCCTTGTGCAGAGGATGAGAAGTTCTATTGTCTCTGTCGTCCTGGTGAATTTGAATCTGTCACGGTTGGGTTTGTATCGTTTTAATTTTGAAATTGAAACTTCCCCTTTCTTCCTTTAAGAGAATTTCACTTCTATATTTGCCGGGTTACTTGATAAAAATCGAGATATCTAAGAGAAGAAGGAAGAAAATCAAGGGTCGAAATTTGATTGTACGATTGATATTTTTGGGTGAGTTGTAAATTCTTGATGACTTGTAACTTGGGTGAGCACTCTTGAAAAGTTGAAGGGGGCTCTCGTTGGGGGCACGATTTGGTAAGATGATAATTCTTGCGACGTTTGAAGGAGAAAATGAGGTTGATTGGTATTAGAAGTTAGATAGAGGGATCAAATATTTGTAGGGTGTTTCGCTATTAGTTCGCCAAATCTTCATATTCTGAAATTTGTTCCCCAAATCTTTATATTATGAAACTAGTTTCAGAAATCCTTTTACATGATATTCATATTCCGTCATCTCTCTTGTCACACATGTTTGATCGTATGTTAAAGCCGTCCCTTGCGAGCGACAGTCTGAAATGTTAATATTTCACAAATTTGATCTTTTTCATTTTATCCGGCATCATATATCTAACTAGTTTGTTACTTTATATCATGCAGTTTTGATTGTGGAATTTTCTTTCCCTTATATGTGAAGGCTATAACCGATTGGGGTGAATACGAATCAAGTAACTACTCCCGATGCTGAATCTGATGTCATTTGTGGGAGGCTAGCAGCTGAACTTCTAATAGAAGGGTGACAACAGAAGAATCAAGCAGAGACATTTGATAAGGATGAGAAAAAGTTGTTCTAAAAATTGATTGGTTGAACCAAAACTTGTGTGCATGTCTGTATTGTGTATATTTAGTTTAGTTGTGTAAACAGTCGATGTGGATGACAAACAATGTAGCAAGTTTGACCTTTATTGTTCTTATTGTATTTTCTGATGTGGATGACAAATAATGTAAACAGTAACATGTTAACTTTCATAATAATATGTTAACTTTCTTCGTAACATGTTAACTTTTATCATAATATGTTAACCTTCACTATTACATGTTAACTTTCACCATAATATGTTAACTTTCTTCGTAACAGTAGGGTGTAAATTTGATTTCCCGAAAACAGGGAGTTTCGTTTGTATTGACAAGAAAGCTTATTACAAACTAATAATCAAATGTTTACAACAGAAGCAGAGGGAATGCCCTCTTTGTTTTGTGTGGGGTCTTTAGGTGGCTATAGGACGCTTCGCTCGATGCTTGTGTCGAGTCTGCTTCCCTTGGACCGTTCGATCGAAGTTGCTGGAGAGCTTCAGTACACAGTAGAAGCTCGAGTCGATGGAGTTCGGGTCTGCTTAGTTCGCCGGCGATCGGAGCTCAGTATGTTAACTTTCACTGTTACATGTTAACTTTCATAATAATATGTTAGCTTCTTCATAACAAGTTTTTTTGAACTAAAATTCGATGTGTTTGAAAGACTAAAAGTCCCTCACGATGATTTATCATTGATATATAAATCTGAGAGGCACCCAAAATAGTGGTTGTATGGAGATTCATATGCAAGCTGTTGTTTATATAGAGAGTTCTATTTTTTTT